ATGCTCCTATATATATATCACTCTGAGAGGATGACCTAGGAGGATCCCTCCCTGAGACGAAGCCAAATAGTTTGGGGTTTTTCACAAATACTTTGATCTTGGTTCAGTAACTACTAGCACAGTAGTCACTGAAAGTGTAACTGCCATTTTCTTGAATTATCATGCTGATTTTTCAAGCTCAGCTTTTTGTATTGTTCTTGATAAATCTCCAGTGTTTATAGATTTTCTCTATAAATTTTCCCTCTCTTTCTTACTCTTTGAGTTTCATGTTCATAACCACGCAGAAATTCATCTAAAATGCTAACCCTGATTTTGTGAAAATGTACTCACTCTGTGGGAAAATACTAGAAGCTCATATTCTACTAAACGTGGTTAGGTACGACTGCATAGAAATTAAAATACAACATAGTCTTGTGTGGCAGAAGGCATATTAATACCTTAAAATGTAAGCAAACATCAGCTGTTCAGAATTAATTCCAGCAGTCACAGTGTTCGACAGTGCTCCCTCACCTTCTAAAGCACTTTCTCCTGGACTTCGGCTTGGCTTGGTATTGCACCATTATCCATACCATAAACTTCAGGATACTTTTTTTTTTTTTGTCCTGGGAATTGAATGCAGGACCTTGTGCTTGTAAGGCAGGTGCCAGAACCACTGAGCAAAATCTCTGGACCAACTTCATGATTCTTGAAAGAGCTTTCAGGATACACTGGCTCCAATTCCCCCTTGATCCTCCCTGAATTTACTGCATACTTTCTGTCAGAGAAGCAACCACTAGCAAACCAAAAGCAAAGCATTCAGCTCAAGGCACCTGTGATCCACAGTCAGCAAGCCTTTCCCCTCTCCCTGTTGAGTACTCTCCTTGAGATCTACAAGAAACAGCTGTTTCCCATCAACATCACCACTCAGTGGAAATGGTGGTCCTCAAAGTATGGCCCTGGGCTCTGCGCCACTGCCATTGCATGGCAACTTGGTGGAAATACAGTGTAGACCCTGTCCCACCTCAGACCTGCAGAATCAGAAACTGAGAGAGGGGCTCAGAGCTATGTGCTCCAAGCCCCCTGGTCCACAATCATGGTGGTGTCTCACATTTGACTAAAGTAGATCCCAACAAAGAGGAGAAAGATGGATGGAGACACAGAGGGGACAAGAGGATGGATATCTAAAAATGGGAAATGGGTCCAAGAGAGCAAGGGAAAGGGGTGAGGGGGAGTGGAAGGGGAAATGTGTAAAACAAAGCTGTCCCATGGACAGGAAGCTAGTAACCCCCAAGAATGCAAACAATATGTGCCATAGCATGAGCTAGGATTAGTAATACCAACAAGAATGAAAATGGAGAAAAGGGAATTAGAGGAGGGGAGGGGGATAAAAACAATCATGTATTATGCGCTTGAATCATGTCTCCAGGATGATTGCAAAATGAATGCATGTACTGCAAACATGGACTAAGAAAATTAAAAATTTTTAAAATATCAGCATTTGAAAAAAGATCCTGATGCTCAGTGGATCTGAAAACCTCAGCACAGAACAGTATGGTTCTCAGGTTTCTGTGTCTTACTGGAAACGTTTTGCATTTTGTGCTAAAAAAGCCCCCTCCTTGCAGCATGTTCTTTTTTGCTTTTCTTCAATTCTGCCTCCTAATTCTATTCTGGAATTTCCAGCATTCACGGTAAATTCTGAAGAGCAACTCCACGTTTCTCCTGGAGAGTCAGTTGCTCATCTCAGAATGCCTATCCTCCTTTAATGTTGTAATTGCTTAGCTAATGATAATATAATCACTTCCTGTCACGCAATCCTGATAACATGCAATTATGCACAACTATTTAATATGCAAGATGGTGTCTATTACACCAAATGCGGGCAGACACCAAG